TCTGCTTTAACATATGTGAGGCCCTGGGTTCGATCCCTAGCACTGCAAAAACAAAAACGTACTGTAAAAGGAAAATAATATGTCATAAAGAAACAAAAGATTTGAAAGTCTTCCAATTTCTTTTAAAATATAGTTTAATATTCCTATATCCATTAAGAGAAACTGACCTATTATCCATGCCACATCTAATAAGCAAAAGAACAGTCATGAACATACAAAAGTTTGTCATAATTATTCTCTGGAAAATGGACTTCTTTCTAACCCATGATCCCGTAATTTATGCATTTCCAGAGCTCTTAACTAATATATGTATGGTAACAGGGATGAGAAAGTACTAGCCTTGTCAATACAATACAAATATAAATAAACCATGACGAGGGCCAAGGATAAAGCTCAGCTGCACAGTGCCTACCTGGCAAGCGCAAGGTCATGAGTTTGGCTCCCAGTACCAAAAAAAAACCATGACGAAGGGAAAGTCATGACGAAGGGAAGACTGCAAGGATCCTACCAAGCATTCTGGGTCAACTCTACCCATTATATTTGGGCTCTTCTTCAGCTTCCATGGCATTACTTTCTATTATTTTTCTTTCACTTTTCTGGAAAATATTATTATCCTTTCTTCTATCAAATCTCAGTGGTAGAGTTTCTCAAGGCTTCAAACCTGGAATCTTTACAGTCCTTGTATGTAAGCCCATTAACTACCAAGATATGGCTGATAACTAACAAATATGCATCACTTGCTGAGACCTGTCTTTTGAGCTTTAGACTCTAGTATTGAGGGACCCACATAGCTCTTAATGTTAAAATGGAAATTAGAAAATAGAAAGCGCCTGCCTGGCAAGCGCAAGGTCATGAGTTCGGTTCCTGGTACCGGAGAAAAACCAAAAAAAAAAAAAAGAAAATAGATGTCCTTTCCTTCTGGCAGTCATTGTAAGAAATCCTCCCAGATGACCAAGAGTACACACCAGGAGCAGCATGCACATGCACATCCTGTGTATCATCCCTTTTCTTTCAACAGATGACCACATCACGTTCACAGTCAGGTATGAAGCAATAATTAAGTATCTGAGAGTGGGGGGTATATAAGTAAGAGAATAAATCTTAGTGCAGCTAAGAGCAGGTGGGAAAGAACACAGACGTGCATATATGTGTGTCACATGTATAGGTGTACTTATTTTCTTGCAACTATGCACAATGTAGTATGTATGAGTAGGTTTATATGTGGAGTAGCACAAGAGTTAATATTACTGCTCCATAACTCTTAAAAAGAGATCTGGAACCCTGATGCCCATGTGTATTTTCATAAAATATAGCATATATTTATGATGTGAATAGTACCACCTAGTATGTGTTACTCTATGTATAACCTCAACATTTGTAAATTGATTCTCCCTACATTTGATTGCAGATATCTATATGGATGCATAATAGGAATCTCATTTTTAACATATATTCTCAAAGAAGTATCCTGACCATCTTTCCCAAATGTGCTTCTTCCTCAATCTCCATCGTAGTACATGGTACCACTCATCACCCAGTTGCTCACTCCAGAAAACTAGAAGTCATTGTTTTTCCACCTTCTTCTCCCTCACTCTGTATATACTATCACCAAGTCCAGAAGGAGCTACTTTCTAAAATTAAGTTGACTGTCTCCACTTTGTTCTATCTCTATTGACATCACTCCAATATTAGGTACTGCCATTTCTGGCACTGATAACTGCAATATCCTTCTAATTGGTGGCTTCATTTACACTCTGACTATCCCCACCTTGGTTCACTGACTTCTCATCAATAAATGCTTTCTCCACATAGTGAACAGAATTTTACAAATGTAAATCAAACTACAATTGGTTACTACACTAAAATCTAATTGCTTTAATGATTTACAAGCCCTTGCATGATCTGCTTTACCAGGTTAACAAAATTTATAGGAGGACATTGGTTTAGACTGAGTTCCTGCACGAGGCTCCAACAAACCAGATCAAAATGGAGTGAATTGTTTTAAGTACCATATAATCAAGCTCAAACTTTAAAAGAAATGGGAAAATCCACAAACAGATGAGTTTTTTAAGTTAATACTTGGTTGCAGTACATACTGAATACATTCATTGTAGTAGCTGGTACGTGTACGTGACACATCTTTTTACATCTCCCAACATCTCTTAGTAATCTTCTCAAAGGCCAAACTCTATTTCCTTCCTACTCAGACCAGTTTTTTTGTATAGAAACAGAAGGTTCACAACAACTACTTGAAAGGGCCAGCTTAATCTGAGATGGTATCAAAAGGAAGTCCTTTCTTCTTACAAGGAAAGTAACCTTATGCTAACCAATCCATTTTTAGGGGTAATATGTTGTTTCCTTGTTTGAGGTATGGCTACCTATCTTAGTTACTTTTCTGAAACAAAATACCAGTCACCCAAAGTCACGGAGTTTGTAGAGATTTCAGCCTGTAGTCAACTAGCTCCAAGGCAGAGTGGCATGATGGAGGGGCACTGCAGAGGAGAAACAGTCCATGCCAAACCAGGACAGACAAAAGATAGCCAGTAAGGGACTAGCAAGAGCAGGCTTCAAATGACAATATGAGCCTTCTTTTTGTCCCTTATATTTTGTCTAGGCATCCTGTCCTTAGGGCAGGTAGCATTCACACCCAGGGTGGGGCACCCAGAACTATACCAAACCAATCAGAAGACTAATTTAGTAATCATACACCCTTGATCCCAGCATCTCACACTTAATCTCTGCATCGCATACTCTAGATCTAGCCACCTCTGAAAAGCCCCACCTATGACCACATGAGGCTTTGGGGCTACATCCAGATACAAGCCATAATACTACCTATCAAAACCAACTATTCTATCATACCTAGGACAGCAATTTTTCTAAGTGATAACTGTGTGTTACGGTCTGATTCATGAATTTTTAAGAAAAGCCAATTTAATCTTTAAATCTGTTGAAAAAAATTTTGAGAACCCATACTGGCTTCTTTTCATTCATTAAATGCATCAAGTGCTGTATTTTTTTCATAGTGCCTGCACCGTTTCACATTCCCACAGCAAGACAGAAGGATTCTAATTTCTTCTTCACTTTTTTTTTAACAATAGTAATTTTTTTTTTTTTTTTTTTTTTTTTTTTTGAGACAAGGTCTCACTATGCAGTTCAGGCTGGCCTTGAGCTCACTTTGCAGCCCAGGCTGATCTTGAACTTGCAAGGATCCTCCTGCCTCAGCCTTCCAAGTGCTGGAATTACAGGTGTGCAGCACCCCAACCGGTCAACAATAGTAATATTGGGTGTGAGGTGTCATAGTTCTGACTTGTACTTTAGAGCATTTTTTTTCACATGTTTATTGGTTAGTTGCATATCTTCCTTGGACAAATACGGATTTAGACTCTTCAACCACCTATAAATCAGACTGCTTGGCTTTTTGTTGTTGAATTTTGAGAGTTCTTCACATACTCTAGCTAGTAATCCCTTAACAGGTATATTATTTGCAAATATTTAGTCTTGTTCCGTGAGTTATTTGTTCATTCTTTTGATGGTAATTCTTTCATGTACAAATGTTCTAAATTACCTATTTTTGTATTTTTATCTATGCTTCTGGTATCATGTTACTTTTACTAAAACTTTATCTTGTATTTTTCTCATCATCGTCTTAAATAAAAGAAAAACCCTTAGTCTCTTCTATTAAACACAAAAATATAATTAAATGGGTTTTTCTTTTTCCATCTTTCACTCCAAAATACTTTGGTATTATTTTTAACTTTGTGACTAAATTTTCTACTATTTAGATCCACAGTTCACCACTGGTCATTTTTAGCACTACTTTATCTTACTTGAATTCTTAATTTTGATCCATCTCTATATAGTTGAGTCCTCAAGTGAATTTTTGAAGATCTAGGATTACAATATATTTTCTATTTCTAGCATATTGGTTAAAAAATGTGTTTTTATGGCCATACTACTTGATAAACACACCCTTGGGACCACAAATCCTTAAATTATAATGTTCTTCCCACTAAATATAGATTTTCTTCAGTTTACTTCCAACATTTACTATTTCAACAAAGGAAGTTTTATTTCTTTAGTTATGTAACTTTTAAAAAATATTCTATGCTTTTAAGTTTTTTGTTTTTGTTTTTTTTTTTTTTGGTTTTTCTCCGGTACCGGGAACCGAACTCACGACCTTGCGCTTGGCTTTTAAGTTTTAAAATATTTTAATTAAAATTCTTGTATAGCATATATCTCTGTCTCTTGCTACTGATTTTTGCCAGGACTGTATGAGAATCTTAAATCTATACATTATGTTCTTTTCTTTCCTTTTTGGAGAGAAAAGTTTTATTCAAATCTTCAATATTACTTTCATTCACACTGTTCTGCTGTCTACAAATATAATTCTTGGTCTGGTGTTACCGGCTGTGTTTCTTGTATCTTTTCTTTTCATATTCTAATTTTGTTTTTCCTTTTTATTTGTATTTTTAGAGACTTTTTCAAGTTTGTCCATATCACCAATATCATTCATGTTAATTTTATTTTTGTCTGAAAAATATACTTTAAACATGCTGTTAATTTTTTCCTTTTTCAATCTTTCTTTTTTTTTTTTTTTTTTGTTTTTTTTTTGGTTTTTCTCCGGTACCAGGAACCGAACTCACGACCTTGCGCTTGCCAGGCAGGCGCTTTTGCCGCTGAGCTAAATCCCCAGCCCCTCAATCTTTCTTTTATTCACTCCTGCTTCTTTCTTTTTGAAACAAGAAAGTGAGATATAATTTACATAACAAAAACTTACCAACTAAGTAAGTGTATAAAGTTTTTTTTGTATTCCCAATGAACACTACCAATTCCATCACATTTTTGTTACCCCAAAATGAAACCCTGAATGTACAAGTATAACCAGTTATTCCCTTCCCTATTTCCTCTTTCCCCATAGTCCCCGTCAACCACTACACCACTTTCTGTCTCTCTCTGGAGTTGTCTATTCTGCACACTTCATTAAATGAAATCATACAACATGTGACATTTTGAGATTTGTTGGACTTCTTTTTTATTTTTTCCTTTAATTAGGTTAGTTTTAAAAAATAACCCTAATCAAAATACCAATAGCATTCCTCACAGAGCTACAGAAAACAACCCTAAAATGCATGTGAAATCAGAGAAGACCTACTTTGGGACCAAGTTTGGGAAACAAGGGCAAGGCAGGAGGCGTCACAATCAGGAACTACGTTATACTACACAGTTACAGTAATTTAATAAAAGAAAAAAAGCGCATGGTATTGGGGGAAAAAAAAAACAGACTTTCGGATAAATGGAACAGAATAGAGGATATAGAAATTAACTCCAGGTACACTCAACTATTTTATGTTTGAAAGAAGATACAAATACTTTTGCTGGAGGAAAGACAGCCTCTTTAACAAATGGTACCACAAAAACTATCCAACTAAACCCGTTTCTCTCCACCACATACAAACTAAAATCAAAGTGGATCAAGGATCTAAATATTAAAACAGAAACCATCTGCTGGAAGATAAAATAGGTAAAACTCTTTAAGGCACAGGCCAAGGCAGACACTTTCTGAACAGAACCCTAAGAACACAGAAAAGAGTACCAAGAATCAACAAATGGGATCATATCAAATTAAAAAGGCTCTGTACAACAAAGGAAACCATCAAAAGAGTAAAGAGAAAACCTATATGATGGGAAAAAACAACTTTGCCTGCTACTCCACAAAGGACTACTATCTACTATCTAAAGAACTAAAAAAAATTAGACCTCTTCAAATTTAAAGACCCAAACAATGGGCATCTGAAATGAACAGACACCTCTAAGATAAAGAAATACAAATGCCCAGTAAGTACATGAAACAATGTTCAATATCGCTGGCCATTTGAGGAATGCAAAAAAGCAACACTGTAGGTGATAGCAATCTGGTCATACTTTTGGGGGCCTCTAGTGTCTTGCTATCCATTTACACCTCTAATATTTACATGTGGAAAGAAGAGCTTTCATTCCAGAAAGAATAGCTATCTTACAGAAATCAAGTAATTACAAATGCTAGAAAAGCTGTGTGGAAAAAGGAAACTTCTTTATTGTTGGTAGGAATGTAAACTAGTACAACCACTATAGAAATCAGTACGGAGATTCCTCACTAAATTAAAAATAGAAATTCCACTTGACCCAGCTATTTCCTTTCTTGTTATCTTCCTGAAAGAGTTAAACACATCAATCAGATTAAAATGATACCTGCATACTGTTGTTTACAGCAGCACAATTCATAACAACTAAATCTTGGAAGTAGCCTATATGCCCATCAACAGATAAATGCATAAAGAAAATGTGCTATTTACATATAATGAAGTACTACTCTGACACAAAGGATGAACAGCACTTTGAGACCAGAAAGTTAAATGAAATAAATCAGACACACAAGTTTAAGTATCACATGGTTTATCTTATGTGAGAAAGCTAACACATAAATCAAGTTCAAAATAAAAGATAAGAGCCAGGAATACAGCTTAGCGGCACAGCAGCTGCCAGGAAAGCACAAGGTCCTGAGTTCAATTCCTGATACCAAAGTAAAAATTACATAATAGGAAATAGCAAAATGGATCTTTGCGATATGGGAGATGGAGGAGGAAGGGTAAGGAAATGAGCGGGTAGGGGGTTGTGAAGTGTTGTGTACATGCACCAAGTTAAAATAAAAAATTAAGAAATGTCATGTACATATACTAACTCCCCATAATCAATGTAATAATTATATACTACAAACATGTACCAATAAAAATGAATAAATTAAACTAATCTCTCAGTTTCTCTTTATGTATCTGGGGCTTTTTTGTTAGGTTATCTATTTATAATTGTTATATTTTCTTCATCGATTAACCCTTTGTCATTATAAAATGTCTTTAGTAACATTTTTAAAATTTACTTACTCTAACATTAATACAACCACTCTATGGTATATCCTTTCCTTTTATTTTCAACTTATTTGTCTCTGAATCTAAAGACAGTATTTTACAGACAGAATACAGTTGGGCCATGTCTTGTTTTAATTTTTATTTTTTGAGACAAGGTCTCAAATCTGTATAGCTATTAGATCTCCTTTACCTTTCTGATGCATTCAGTACTTCTTTTTATAGAAACAATATTCCCCAGAACACAGTGCACCACTAAGTCACTTTGTCTTCATCACTTGCCACCGTCAAGTCTTTTCTTTACAGTATTATCTTCAAGTAGAGGGAAATGTTAGAGATGTAAATGGATAGCAAGACACTAAAGGCCTCCAGAAGCATGACCAGATGTCTACCATCTTCAGATGGCCTTTTTTTTTTTTTTTTTTGAGGTAAGAGTTTCTCTGTAGTTCAGGATGGCCTTAAGCTCACTATGTAGCCCAGGCTGGCCTCAAACTCTCAGCAATTCCCTTGCCTCTGCCTCCCGAGTCCTGGAATTATAGGTGTAAGCCACTATACCCAGCCATGATGTTCTGTCTTCTAATCTGGAAGTGAGTGGGATCAAAACTTGTCCTAACAATTAAGTAAGTTTATTTTATTTCTGGGATGTGTGTTTTTAAAAATCACAGCTTCATGGGGAGTGGAAATTTCTTCTGTTTTGTTTTGGTTTTTTGGTACCAGGAATCAAACTAAGGATCTTGCACTTGCCAAGCAGGCACTGTGCTGCTGAGCTATATCCCCGGCCCAATTTCATTTTTGACTATAAATTTAATTCGTACATTTGGTAAGCATTTTTGTGGTTTGTTCTTTCAGCTCCATCACAGTGGTGAGACATTAAAGGTTATATCAGATGCTCTAATAGTTACAACTAAAAACTAGTTTGCTCTATTTTCATATCAAATTAACAAAATAATACCAAGGACAACTTATTTTTTATTTGCAATTTCTACATATACAAAGATGTTTATGGGGAAAATTATGAATTAAAAAAATTTGTTTAAAGTGAAGCAAATCATCTTAGTCCACTAAAAATGTTATCTAATCAATCAAAACCTAACACCATACTAACTTGGCACTCTTAAAATCCCAAAGGAAGTACTTATTAAACTCCTCCAAGAAATACTGTTCATTTCCTAAGTCTACAATTACCCTGCAATGAATTCACAGGGATGCTGCAGAATATTTTAATTCTAGGGAAACAATGGTGATATTTGATATCTGATGTACTCCATGAATTATGAGCTCAAGGTAGTTCAAAAACTCAATATAAGATACTAGTATGCTCCTTTCAACACTATCATGTCTCTGCAAAGCTGAATTTTTTATACTTACTTTAATAATGAACAAGGAAGAACAGTAGGTGTGTTCAAGGCATGAGAAGTGGTATAGTACCCAACAACCACATATAAGTATTTCATTAGAAGTGTGGTTAGATATGAACAAAAGAAAATGCTTTTGATTAAAAAACCAAGCCAAAAAGAAGTAACAGTGTACTAAGCTGTTAGACAAAAACCAAAAGTACTTATGCCCTACTACCTTAGGAGCTATTTAAAAAAATACAAGTTGTACTATATGCACTATCTCTAGCCTGTGAAAAAATAACTGAGATACTAAAGGTACTGTGAACCAAGAAAGCCTGGGAAACTTTTCCCTATATAAATAAATATATAACTCAAACACACAACTATACTTGCATTTTCCTTCATTAAATAATTATCAAACACTTACATCTATATAACTGATCAAATAACCAACCTGAATCAGAACTCAAGACATAAAAAGCTCCATATTTCACTGAAAGATTAAAGAGCACTGATCTTTCATTTTTGATTTCATAATTAACCCGGCAACACAAAAATAAAACTTTAAAACTCTTAATATTTCTGTAAAATACCTGAATGTGAGCTCTCAATGGTGCTCTCTGATTTGGACTCCAGAATTGGAGGAACTGTTCCTAGTTGTGGAACATAGTACATCTTCGGACTACCAGATGGCTTATATGGCAATAGTACCGGCTGGGCTATGGATAAAGATCAGAACAATTAGTAAGAAAATAGTTATTAATTCAATGAGTACGTATTGAGTACTTTTTGTATGTCAAGGAGTGCTCAAGTTTCTTGAGATACATGAGTGAACTGAACAGAAATGTGAATTTTTTTCAAAAGGATCCAGAATTCTAGAGGTGGGGGATAGTATACATAATTAAATTAAACAAATTATCTAATTTTAATAAACTGTATGTAATATGAAAAAAAAATTAAAGAAATTAAGAACACAGGAGAAACTGGGGCAAGATGTAGTTTAGTATGATAGGAATAGGTTTCATTAGCAGATGAGTGTTTAGCAAAGCTATATATAGATGGCTTTAAATGAAAAAATTTACTTTATGTTGAACCCAAACCTGCTCACAATTTACCCCTATGGTACTTCATCTTATTCTACTCCCAGAGTCACAGCCAATAATAGGATAGGCTTTGTGAAAAAGTTTCCACTATAAAGGTATAAATTCTCAATATTCATAAATAAAACTAAAAAAGACAAGGTCCTACCACTTAAAGGTAACTATTTTAGTGTACATCCTACCAATTTTCACATTTCTTATTTGCTTATATAATTGCCATCATATAGTAAGTATAGCTTAAAATTTAGTTTTTCTAATTTAATAATTAAAATATGCTTTTTAAATTAAAATTTTCAATTATAAAGAATTCTGTGAATAAAGATACTTCTGTCTACAGCACACTTGTTCTCCTCCTACCATCTATCTCAGGTAAATTCTGTAATTACTGAATTAAAATTATACTACTTATGAATGAAGCTTTAAAAAATTCAAATGCTTTCTAAAATGTCTGTGCCAAGTACTTTTCTTCAAATAGTGCTTGTAAAGTCATTAAAAAATAATTCTCTGTTAATAAGGGCAATTGTCTAAACATGCTCTCATTTTCATTAGTATTGAACAGCGCTAGTAAACCTTTTACAGCTTTCAGCGATAACAAAGAGCTGGCTGAGGCAAGCATGCCATAGAGAAGATGAAGTTTTTGCCTATACACAGCTGTCCTGTGGTACCTGGGGATTGAGACCACAACTTCCACAGACACCAACTATGCCCATGTTCAAGTCCCTTACATGAAATGACATAGTTTTTGCAAATTCTTTTGTGTACTTTAAAGCATCTCTAAATTACTTTTATTTATTATACTGTATTGTTTAGGGAATAATGACCAAAAAAAGCATTTGTACTTGTTTAGTACAGATGCAAATATTGTTTTCTGAATATTTTCTGTGATTATGTAAATCCATGAATGCAAAACCCACAAATATGGAGGGCCAACTGTACTTGTTTTTCTTTCATGGTATGGTAGAAACTGGTAAGTGGTCCCTCATATACACCCTTATATTTCTTCTTTTCATCTATCCACTATATTTTCCAAGATATGTGATGAAGTTCTGGACCATAGTATGAGTGCAAGACTATAGTATGTGTATAAATTCTAAGGAACTCCATTAAAGGGAACCCATGAAAAGCCCACCCCTTCCTGGGTACTACAGATCCTAACAGCTTCCATCCAGAAACAAAGAATGCTAAAGGGTTAGGGGTGTAACTCAGAGGGAGAGGAGACAGAAGTCACAATGAATGCCAAAGGGCTAGCGGTATAGCTCAGAGATAGAGCACATGTTTAGCATCCACACGGCCCTGGGTTCAATCCCTAGCACTGAAAAATAAGAAAAGGGATGGATGTTTAGGTTATTTCTGAACATTTTATGCATAGTTACCTACTCATCTGCAGTGGAATTTCTGTGACAAAGCTGATCTTACACCCTAACACATACTCAATAAGCAATCAATTAATTTAAATCAACTGAAGCTACTACTTCTACATACTTTTTTTCCTCAGTTTCTTCACCTAGAAAGTAGGCTTGATAATAACACCTTTTAGGGACATTACAACAATTTAAGAACACACAGTGCATCAATCTGTAACATCAATATGTTTAGAAGTAAAGTACTAAGTTCTTTCAAGTCCCTTCTCTTCAAATTTGTTGTAATAACACATTATGTAATTTCTATTTTTCTCTATTGTGAGAAACCCGGGAAATTAAGAATTACTCTTTTATTCCTCCAAATTTTCTGTTATTCTTCCTGACACACTTTAAGATTAATTGAACAAGTTCCAATGAACAATTCCAAAGAATTTTTAGTGGAAAATTATACTGAAATATATTTATTGGGGGAATAAATGACATCTCCAAAATATTTAGCTTTCCCATCCACAAACATAACCTTCCCCTTTTCTATCTATACACAAAGGATTAATATTTTTCTGCACATAGGTTATATTAGGTTATTTCTGAACATTTTACAGGGCTATAGCCCTCATATGAGTAGAATTCTGGAGACAGCTATCTATCACTTCTCCCGGCCAAATACCTCATATGCCTTTAATTTACCCTTACAGACCATGGTTTTCTCTTACAATTGCCCCCACTTCTAGACATACTTATAGTTGCCCACATCTAGTTGATAAAAATCAACATGCTCTGGACAGACTATGCTAGTCCTGGAGTAGGTTGAGATCTCTTTCATTTTGAACATAACCACCATATATTATCTAGAATTTTGTTACCATCTTTGATAATTCTAATGATTTATTTTGGCACTATATTTTATATCATTAGTATCACACTTCAAAAGAAGGAAATTAATTCATAGTGAAGGAAATGAGGCAAAGCAGATGCTTAAAGGGATGCACATGCCTCACTGCCCATAACTATGCTAAAGCTTTAAAAAAAGTGAATGAGCAACACTGATAACTTTAAGGCAACAGTTTCTGAGGCTGAGATGCTGTCTTACAGAATATGGGATACGTGCAGACCCATACATGGTACTTTCCCATTTCAAGTACCAGAAAGAATATATGTATTTAGAACGAAGATAGAGCCCTCTTAGAATCTTTTGCTTTCAATCTTTGTGATTCTGAGATTTGTTAGATGGATCTTAGAAATAACAGAGAGATACTTCAACCAGAGACAGCAACTATCTAACCGTTTTGCATTCTTCTCCCATTAAAGCAATACACAGAGCAGCACACATAGTATTGACTAAATCTTTGACACGAACTATCAGGAAGAAATAAAGTGACCTTAAAAAAAAAAAAACAAGTCATTAGAACAAGACTAATACTTGGGGAACTATTTTATCATGCCTGATGATAGAAAATAAAAAAGTTTTAATGATACATACGCAGGGTTAAAAAGTCTCAGATGACTTAGGAATACTGTACCACTCTATTGGGCAGAATAACAAAACAGGAAATGCTGTAGCCTCTAGATCTGTTTGGTTACTGCTATAGCCATTATTGTTGTAATACTGATTTATTAATTTTCTTCCTTCACCAGTGTATATAACTTTTGATGAAGTGATGATTATATTAATCATTTAACTCAAAGATTGCAAAAAATTAATAATGACAAATGACCCAGAGCAAGAATGGCTATCATATGGAGAATTCTGAGGTAAATGATTTTTTGAAGTTCTCAACAACTTATGTTTGGATGCAGTGATCTTAAGGTTACTCTGGACTGTTTGCCCTGGAAGTAGGAAGTACAAGGCAAATACGACCTCTGGAAAAGAAAAAGGATTGAGGAGTAGAGAAGAAAATTAATAAAATGTATTTCTTTAAAATCTGAAAACAGAACAAAATATAAACATATAACACATTACTATGAATTTTATAATTCATAGTGGGAAAATAGTCATATGTCCAATATACAATTTTTGTATTTTAAAGTATCCTCTTTTTTTTCTGAAAATTTTGGGGGGGGGGGTAATGGGAATTGAACTCAGGACGTTGCATTTGCCAGGCAGGCACTTGTGCCATTGAGCTATATCCCCAGCCCCTAAAAGTATCCTTTTTTTTTGTAGTGCTTAGAATTAAATCCAGGGCCTCGTGAATACTAGAAAAAGTGTTCTGTGGAGAAGGATATTCTTTAGTTTATCTTTCAATATATTACCTGTTTGGGACTTTGAGCCTGACCAAGCCATACAACTGTTTGATTCTGGAGGAAACCGAGCAAAAGCATTAGTGTAAAAGGAAATGACAGCAGGACCTGGGTGCCTGTGGAAAGCTGCCGGGGACAACACTCGATGCTTTGCTGAGATATGCCAGAAGGAATGATAAAACGATGGCTAAATCAAGTCTCATTCCTGTGATAATTAAAGTGTATTGTCCTCGATAATCCTGTTAATTATTCCTCCCATTTGCCCTGTTGCTGTTTTTATTAGTATCCCAATAAAAGGTTATGGAAAACGGTAATCAAAGCGATAGTCCTGGAGGCTGAAGTCCCCTGATCCCATAATTTTGCCTCTCTCGTTTTTCTTTTCATCTGAGGCACCTCATTCTCGGGACCTGTCACCCTAGACAGAAACTGACTATACACCGACAGTGTTGTACCACTGAGCTACATCCCAGCCCTTTTTATTTTCAGATAGGATCTATCTAAATTCAGGCTAGCCTTGAACTTGTGAATTCCCTGCTTCAGCCTCCCATGTAACTGGAATTACAGGTATGCACCACTGCTCCTGTCTAAAGTATACTTTAAAAATATACTTCTATGGCTAGGCTACAGCTCAGTGGTAGAGCATTTACATAGCATGTGTGAGGCTCTGGATTTGATACCCAGCACAGTAAATAAATAAAATACACTATTTTTTAAAAGCCTCAAAAAGTTTACTTCTGACCCACAGTATTAAAAATACTGTATTAGTAAACCAAGTAACATTAATCCTCAAATAAAGTATTCAGAAAGCATTAATCATGGCTTCTATATATTGATCCATTTGATATGAACAGAGGTTTACACTGTTTTCACAGCTGTTTCCCTTCTTGTGATTCTGCCCTCGTCATGAGAGTAGCACATACTAGCCTGGGTCTCAGAAAGAAGCACTTAGAACATACTCAGACCATTTCTGCAACCTGAAACCAAACTCAGACAAACTCCAGCTGACTCATAAGCCCATGAGTGAGAAAAACAAAAGTCTACTGTTATAAACTCCTGGAATGTACTAAGGATTTTGTTACAAAGAATCACTGTGGCAAAGAGCTAACTGACATAAAGATGTTCTTTGTAGTAACTTATTAAACTATACATATTTTGGTACACTTTGATTTCACAATAAAAATGTTGAAGAGTTATAACCACCTTAATATATTAAATGTACTTAAATCCCATTCAAGTTAAATGATGAACCAGCAATGTTCTTTATATTTAGGTAGATTCCACCAACAGCTAAAGATGGACAAATTTTTGGCATGAAAAGGAAAACTAAACATCTATTTTGAACAGATTTATGCAAAACACTTTAAAAATATTTTTTTAAGTGCTGGGGCTCAAACCTAGAGCCTCAAGCATGCTAGGCAAATGCTCTATCACACCAGGCAGATCCTTACCTCTGCACTATACCTGTATCTCCAGGCCAAAGTTAATAAAGTTCCCACCTTTACTTGGCAAAGAACAGGAACTGAACTGTTAATTTTTCTACTGTCTGCTTAAAAAGGAAAAAATTTATAATTTACTCTAATTTTAATTATTATAGGGTATAAAAACTATCAAAATATCACAGAAACTACAGCATACAAAGTGCTAAATGTATTTTTCATGGTGGAGACAGCTAGCTGTTCACCAAAATCCACTGCCTCATCCTGGAAAACAATGCTGTTGGAAAGTGATCTGGGTCACTTTTAGGGTGGGCCTTTAAAAAAACACCCCCACAAGCACTCCTCCACGCTTTTCGTTACTTCCTGTTGAGTATAATGATAAATCCAGGATAACTTCTGGTTCTAAATTTTAAGGGCAGCAGGGTAAGCACTCAACCTGGTTAACAAGTGATTGTTTTGTAAGCAAGAAATAAACTGATACTGTATTTACACTATTACATAGTTTTACATCTATTTATTACACTATAAATATTACCCAAAATGCAAATAATGTGTTTGTCTTCCTGAAAGCACATCTCAATTGTTTTTAAGTTATTACATACTACCTGCACTCTTATTAACAAATATCAAACATCATGAGACAAAAATAAGTCAACCCAAGGCAGCATGAATTCCACATACTATTAATTCCATTGCAAATTAAGGTAAAAATAAATATTCTCTTCGTAGCTACCTAAATAAAAAATGGATATAATAATCATATGGATCCCACTGTTTAAATTAAAATTAGATTTAATCACTAAAAAGACACAATCATAAATTTCTAAGATACTTACACACGAAAGTAGGTATAATGACCTTAAACATAATCACACTCTCTTACCATCTGTGCCACGATTCGAAGTAATCTGTTGTACCGAAGATGATGAAGCAAACCTGACAGGGACTTTTTGTAGCTTTTGAGTAGTGGGCTCTAGAATTTCATGTCCATGATCTTTAGCATTAATAAAAATCTCTGATGAAAGCAAGGTCTTTTCTGGACTTTCTGTTGTTATCTGAGTGACTGCATCAGATGATAACTTTCCAGAGAAGGCAGAAACTTGGGTCTTACTCTGTTCTGGTAAACTGAACAAAAGAGACAAGAAATGAAAGAACATATTTTTGGCCAGGTAGCTATAAGGAATATTCTGTGAACACAACAATCTCAAACGGTAAGGTATTTCCATGGTACCCTTCATTTGTTAGATACATAGTAAAACGTGATTATGTATTGTTTTATTTACTTTAAAACCTATTTTAATTTATAATATCATTATACAATTTATCTGGGGAAATAGTACTTTTCAGTTAATATGAATATTTATTAGATGGCCACTGTAAGTCATTTATTAGGTGGCCACTATAAATTAGGGGACTATGCTGCATGTCTAAAATGTATGAAGATAAAGAAGAAACACAGCCCTACTTCAAGGAGTTTACATTTAAATAGGGGAATTATAAGTCTTCAAGAATGTAGTTATATATATCCATATACAGAATTCATATTAAAAGTAAATAAATTATTGAATAGAGAGGAGAGCTACATGTTGCTTAAGAATTCTAAATAATATATGTAGACATCTCCCATAAAAGGAAATAAAGCTTAGTCCCCATTCCTCACCTTAAGAATAGGCTGGACTTAGCGACTGGACTTAGAAGAATAAGAACATGAGAGGGAGCAATACAGCAATCAGGCAAACACTGCCTTATCCATATGACCAAGGTTGTCATTACCAGTGATAATAGAATATCACCTTCTCTGCATGATGTGAAAGAGGGGCACTTCTCACTTGTATGGCGTTCTTTGCCTATACCTGAAATTCCAGTCTCATCATGAGAAAACGTAGCCAAACCTATACTGAGGAACCACCTGCAAAATGTCTGACCAGTACGCCTGAAGCCTGCTAAGTTCATGAAAAACAGAGAAGGAATAAAAGCTTGCTATATACAACAGGAGAAAGAGACATAGTAACTGGCTCAGTCCATTTGGGTTGCTGTGAGGCTTATAAACAATAGATTGTTGTTCACAGTTCTGGAAACAGGATAAACATTTTCATGGCAAAAAGGAGTAATGAAAGAAAAAGGGGGAAGGGTACTAGATCCCAAACTTCAAACTCAAGAATAATCCTTGACTCAAGGTTCTGCCCTTCGGGTTCACTGGGCTGTAGGAATTCTGGACCCACTAGGGCACTGGCTTTGCCCCACAGCCTTGGGCAGTCCTGTAGTACACCTACTTTCTTGATGACTCTCTATCTGGATTCCACATGCCCAGCTCTCCTAGGCTGGAATTATACTCAGATGGCTCTACTAGTCTGGTGCTTTAGGGATAGCCCTATCCCCAGACTCTACTAGGCATTGCTTTGTGAGTTCTCCAGGAGCTTTCATTCAGTGATTTCCTATCTGGGCCCTGTGGCTCTCTAAGGCATCTCTATCCCCACAACTTTGCTTTGTACTGGGGCCTTGAGTGACAGTGCGGGCAGGAGAACTGAGAAACAGTGAGCACCAAGGCCCCATTGTTGCCTAAAGCATCTCCTTTGAAATTATTTTATCCCCGAGGTTCTTGTATTCTGGGCCATAGATGAGAGTGGTAGGCCCAAAAATATATGAAATGCATTTAGAGTAATTCTTCCGTTTTCTTGATGAACTGCATGTAGCTGACCATAGTAATCATCTTATCAAATGGCCACTTGGCCACGCTGATGTTTTCTCCCAAACATATATTTGCATTTTTTACAGTAAGAAAGGTTAAGAATTTTCCACATTTTAAATTTCTGCTTTTTTAAAAATTAGAATCTCATTTTTAAATTGTTTCTCTTCATGCATTTTACAATTAGTATCTAAAAGATATCTAGCTGCATCTTCAAAGATGCTGCATCTTTCAAGAAGAAATCTAGCTGCATCTAACGCCTTGCTTAGAAAATTCTTCAAATTCAAAATTTTCAAATTCTACGTTTCATAAAACATTAGGACAGGAATGTAATTCAGCCAAATTCTTTGACACTTTATAAGAAGGAATTACTTTCCACCAGTTTCCAATAACACATTCCTAATTTCTATCTGAAATTGCTCCTTACATATATCTCTTATATTCTACTCAAAACTACTTACATAAATCTTTAAGGATTTCTCTAGTTTTCCCACTTTCCTGAGCACACACCAAAATGAATGGTAACATCTTGTTCATTGCAATCTTTTCCTAGCATACACCTAAAAAGTCTTGCAGCCTGTACCTACTACTCAAATCCAAAGCCACCTCTGTATTTTTAGGTATTATAGCAGTAGTTCTACTTCTTGGTATCCATTTTTGTCCTCGTTCATTCAGGCTGCTTTAACAAAATATCATAGACTGGGTGGCTTATAAACAACAGAAATTTATGGCTCACAGTTCTACAGCATGGTAGTCCAAGATCAAGGCACTGGCAGATTTGTTAGCTACTGAAGGCTTGCTTTCTGGTTCACAGATGACATCTACTTACCATGTTGCCACATGGAAGAAAGGACTAACTAGCTCTCTAAGTCTCTTTTATAAGACATTAATACCATTCATGAGGGAACCATCCTCATGACCTAATCACCTCCACAAAAACCCCACCTCCAAATCACCACATTAGAGGATTAAGTTCAACATACTAATTTGGGGAAGACACAAACATTCAGACTATAGCAACAACTAAACCAAGGATCAGGAACAGAAAAAAACACATTAATGGAAAAACTGATGAAACGCATATGAAGACCAGGAGCTTGTGAATAGCAATGAACAAATGCTTGTGTCTTAATTTTGATACATATGCTATGATAATTTAAGATTTTGGTAATAGGAAAATCTGGAAGAGGGTTTTGGAGAGCTCTATTTTGTATCTTTAATGTAAATCTAAAATTATTCAAACACAATTTTTTATTTTAAAAAAGCAAATAATACTGTATTCTATTAGGGCAATATCAAGAACATATCAAAAGACAGAAACACTTTGACTCTCTAAGCCTGTGTTTACATTTCACTAAATAAAAAAGGACAAGTAAAAGAACACAGATGTAAAATTGATGATGATCCAAAGAATTTGTATAGATACAAATTAGAATACAAATAGTTTTAGAAAAATTGCCAGACAGATCAAATTTTTTAAAATTCATTAAATTTTTCCATATCAGAAGTTAAACAATTAAAAACTAAAAATACCATAGGTAAAATCTTAAAAATAACCAATTACCTAATAAGTATTGTAAAAGATACAAAAACCCAATAATATACAGAAAAATTAAAGGTCATCTGAAATGGACTTCTGCTTTAGGGACAATGTAGTAACAGTGGTCAGCAGCACCATCTTCTGTGCTAAGGAGTTAGGCCTGTCACATGTGATTATTCTGAGGGGAAAAAATGAAAACATTTCTTCTACAGTCAAGAAAGACATAAGAATGGCAACTCTCACCACTCATACTCAACTTAGTACTCAATATTTTAGCTAGAGCAATTAGGTAAGAGAAAAATAAAAGGGATACAAATAGGAAAAGAAGTCAAGTTATCCATATTTGCACACAATATGATCCTATACTTAGAAGAAAGATCTCAGTGACCTGCCAAAAGAATTTTAGAGCTGATAAATAAACGCAGCAAAGCACCAGGATACAAAACCAAAGTTAAAAAATCTATAGTTGACAGGCAGTGTGGCACACACCTGTAATCCCAGCACTTGGGAGGCTAACACAGGAGGATCACCACAAGTTCAAGCTACATAGCAAGTTCAAGGCCACCCTGACCTACACAGCAACTCTGTTTCAAAAAGCAAAAAAACAATAGCTTTTCTACACACCAATAATGAACTAGCTGCAAACAAAATTGGTGGTAAATCCATTCAAAATAGCTTTTAAAAATAAAATACCTAAGGCTCAATCTAACCAAGGAGGTAAAAGATCTCTACAATGAAAATTTTGAAACTGAAGATGACACTAGAAAGTAGAAAGACCTCCGATATTCATCAAAGACTGTCAGAATTATACTGTTTAAATGGCCATGAGCAAAAGCAATCTACAGATTTAATGAAATCTCTATCAACATATTAGTAACATTCTTCACAGAACTAGAAAAAAATCCTAAAATTCATATGGAAACATGAAAGACCCTGGATAGCCAAAGTAATCCACTGCAAAATAAGCAAGGTAAAAGAATCACAAAGTCTAATTTCAAATTATACTACAGAGCCACAGTAACAAAAACAACATGATACTGGCACAAAAATAGACATGCAAACCAACAGAATAGAGGATATATTAAACAAAAACATACAACTATAGCCAACTATAAATCAGATGGCTACAAAAGCATATGCTGGAGAAAAGACAACCTCTTTTGTTTTTGTTTTTTTGTTTGTTTTGTCTTGTTTTTTGAGACAGGGTCTTTCTCTATGTAGCCTAGGCTGGCCTCAAACTCTTGGCAATCCTCCTGCCTCAGCCTCCCAAGTGCTGGGATTTAAGCAACCTCTTTAACAAATGGTGCTCGGAAAACTGGATATCCACTTGTAGAAGATGGAAATTAGATCCCTATTTCTCACCCTGTACAATAATCAACTCAAAATGGATCAAAGATGTAGGTATGATGTAAAACTGAAATTGCTAAAAGAAAACACAGGGGAAACACTAAATCACAGGCACAGGCAAAGACTTCCTGATAGGAATCCCATAGCACAGGAAATAATACCAAGAACCAACAAATGAGATGACATTAAAATAAAAAGTTTCTGCACAGCAAGAAAAATAACTAACAGAGTGAATATATAGGTTTTAAATGGAAGAAATTCTTTGCCAACTACAATTCCAACAGAATAATATCTAGAATGTATAAAGAACTCAAAATATTAACAACCAAAAAACAAACAGCCCAACTGACAAATGAGCAAATGAATTAGACACTTCTCAAAAGAAATACAAATGGCCATTAAGTATATAAATATTCAATATGTGTAGCCACTAGGGAAATGCAAACCAAAACTACACTGATATTCCATTTCACTCCATTCAGAATGACTCTCATCAGGAATGCAAAAAAGAATAAATGCTGGTGAAGATGCAGGGAAAAAGAGCCCCTTCTACACTACAGTTGGGAATGCAAATTAGTACAGTCACCATGGAAATCCATGGAAATTCCTCAAAAAAATAAAAATAGAACTACCATATTAACTCAGCTATAGCTCTCCTTGATATATCCCTGAAGGAATTAAAAGACAGTACTCTCTAAGGATACTTGCACATCCACTTACTACAACACAATCCACAACTGCCAACATAATGTAATCATCCTAGGTGTCCATAAACAGATGAAGAAATGAGGTATTTATACACAACTGAGTATTATACAACTGTAAAGAATGAAATTATGAAAAACAGAGATTATTATATTAAGCAAAATAACCCAGACTCAGAAAATAACCCAGACATATTGCATGCTTTCTCTGATATGCGGAATCCAGTATGAGGAAGTGGGTCATGGTGGGCACGACCCTAGGGACTATGTATCTGCTCCCTGACCCTTTCTTCTCTAACTCTCCCACCCACTCTGCCTCCTTGGCTGCCGTGAGTTAAGCCGCTTTCCTCTCCCATGCCCTTCTGCAACGAAGTCCCTGCGCTGCAGTGAGTAGACCGTAGTCTGAAACCTCTGAAACCATGAGATAAAATAAACCTCTTTTTCCTTAAGTTATGGGTGTTAGGGATTTTGTCCTCTTAGCTGATCGATACAATCATAAATCACTGCATGAAAAAAGAAAGCATGACTCTGGAGAGATACAAGTAATAAAATGAAAGTTTGCTAAGGAGTATTTACAGAATTCCAAAAAAAGTCAAAATTGTGCTTTGGATCTAAAATGTTGCCTAAAAGTCATATATTCAGAGGTGGAGTTTTATTGGGAATGTGTCACTAGAGGTGTACAGGTATAACCCAGAGGAGTGTATTCTTTTCTCAAACTCTTCCCTTTTCTTTCTGTTTCTTGGCTACCATGGGGTGAGCAGCTTTCCTGTCATGCCATTCTGCTGTTGTGTTTCTGCCTTAGAGCTGGTCAGCCCTGGACAGAACCCTCTCAAAGCATGAACCAAAATAAACATTTCCTCTTTTTATTTTCAGGGTGTCAGGTGTTTTGTCCCAGCAACAAGAAAGTGGCAAGTATGTTAATTATCTTTCACTTGTACCTGAATTAGGTTTCCTTTCCTACAGTACAACGTGAAAGCGGGGGGCGCATCAATCACATCAGAGTGTGATCACATCACAATGAGTTGATGTGCATTACTGGTGATGCTAACCTTAATCACCCAGCTAAAATAGTTATCTGCCAGGATTCTCCATTGTAAAGTTACCATTTTTTTTGTAAATACTAGTATTTGAGGGAAATGAAAAGGGAATCAAAGAGGAAGGTGGGGGGAGAGGCACACATGCAACCTCCCAAAGGAGATAGCATATCTTCAACACAAAAATAAAGGATTAGTAAATTGTATCACTGGATAATCAAAGATTCCTTTCTTTCTCTTTTTTGTACCAGGAATCGAACTAAAGATTCCTCTCAAAGTAATTCAATTTCTTATAACATTTGATGTCATCTTGTCAAAAGCCCTTTGAAAGTATAAATATATTACCTTCACATATTCTAATTTCATACTTCTCGAAAAACTTCTAGCAGATTAGTCAGATACAACCTTCCTTAAAAGAAATCAAACTGCCTTTTCCCAAGAGCCTATATTTGCTTAAGTATTTTAAACCCTTTGTCACAAATTCCATCAGCTTCATTGTTATCACAATGAGACTCACCGATCTGCAGATACCGGAGTCCCTTCTGGTTTGGAATATCCTTCCAAATCTGAAATGTTCACTTGTATTTCCCTTGAGGTTGTTATCTGGCTATTCTGAGAAGGTACAGTGTTCAAGTCCTGAGCAATAGTATTACTATCTGGAAGAGGAGACTGTACAACTTGGAGGTCCAGTGGAGATTTAGGTCCTAGGAAACCTAAAGATTCTTGACTCTGTGCTACAGATTTACTGGTCAGTAATTTGGAGGCTGGGTCCAGTGATCTTGAAGATATAGTTTGTAGGTCACAGTTAAACTCACTATTCATCTTTGTTTTAGAAGCAGGATCCAATGAATATAATCTTTTATCTAAGGTTCCACTATCCAACTTGGAAGAAGTCTTGGGACAAAGAGTGATACGAACACAGGAAAGTGCTTTTCTATTTGAAGGTGGAGCAGATGCAGATGTTGCTAATGTATAATGATCAGAAGGTAACTGGGAAGTCACATTACTGAAATTAGCTTCAACATTTACATTAGAAATGTGTGATTTAGGTGAATGTTTGTTCTTTCCTACTACACAATCCTGACCTTGAGAGATAAAAAAATGGTCTTTCTTCACGTGGTCATCTACACTTGGGGCTTTGCTTTGATGCTGTTCAAGAAAAATGCAAGGAGGAAGTTCTGAAGCTATATAATCCTGACAATGGGGAAAGGAAGAATGGTTTTCTCTCATCTCATGATCTATATGTGGGGGTTTGCTTTGTTCAAAGAGTTCTCGTTGTTCAAGAAAAATGCAAGAAGGAACATTTGGACAAGGGAGAGAATGGTGTTTTCCCACATGGTGATCTGCATGTGGGTCTTTGCTTTGTTCAAAAAGCTCTCGTTGTTCAAGAAAAATGAGTGAAGGAAGATCTGGAGTTACACTCTTCTCTTTTACTCCTAGTGTGGAATTTGGTCTGCTCATGCTAATGAGGGTATGATTATCAGAAAACTGCACTTCCTTGAAATTGCTACAATTTGCACTGCTACGGGGCTTAGAAGGGCTGACTTTAAAATCTGATCTTTCTAAGAGTTTTTCTTCTTGATGAGAATGATCAAAATCAACAGGTGACTTTTCACTTTGCCTATTACCTTCTGGTACAACAGTCACATCTTTATCTGCTGAGTGATTAAGTGTTTTAAGTGATGAAGGGGAAGAGGTTTTCTGTTTAAGATCTCTAGGAGGAGTTTGTTCTTCAGTGACACTAGAATTAAATACCCCCACAGATGCTCCAGTACCTTGACTACTTTCAGTAACACCAACCTTAAAAACAGAGGAATCTGAAATGCATTTAGAATGTCGGTGAGATGAAAATGTGATGGAGGTAGTAAACTGTCTCATGGGCTCGGGGGTAGGTATTTGTGTTGAAGAATGAAAATCCACACAAGCAGGTTCTACTAATTCTGACGGCCAGTGGTCCGGTTTTTCACAGGATGGCACTTGAAAACCTTTGCTGATGCTGTTATGAAACTGGGAATGACTTTGTAACTGCAAGGAATTCCAAACTTTGAAATGGGAGTTGTCCTGGTCTAGTGATTTAGAAAAACTGATGTGCCTGGCTCTCCATGGTGATGGGCACCGTCGTCCTCTGATCACTTCTGAGGGTTCAGCAGATCTAAAAACACAAGAGGGGCTGTCCAATTGTGGCTGTTCAGCAGTCAGAGTCCTGAAACATCCTTTTTCATGGCTCTCAATAATAATGTGACCACATACACGTTCGGGTGTGCATCCTATTCCCCGTGGACTCTGTAAACCCTAAAAGACATAAATAAGTTCTTACTTGAAGTATCAAAATAGCTTTATATTATGCGAATAAGCTTTCTATCCAGACTAATATCTTACCATGAACATCACATCATTCTTTTATAAAGGAAGCAAGACAAAGAATATGCCAAGAAAATAAGTTTACAAAACAAAATGATTCATGATAACTGAGACCACTCAGAAGAGTTCTCCTAAAAATTTTCCATTATATTACAACAAAACTACTACTGCTCCCCCATAAGTATTTTCCCTTCTTCCTTTCCGTAATACAAGTACCTCACCCAAACTTTGGCTGACCATAAGCCACCAAACTGAAGACATTTCTCGTTTCTATTTTCGCTAACTGTGATCATATGACTATGTTTAGTTCAATGGTATTTGAGCAAAAATGTTAAAGGCAACTTCTGTTTCTTGTCCTTAAAATCCAGGTCCTGACTTCTATGGTCCACAACTACCACCACTGCTATCATAACAATTACTCTTGCTACCTGAAAATGGTGCAACTCATGCCTATGACAGCTCAACTGCCCAGCCAGGTTGGGTCTTTGGATAACCTCAAGGAACAGAGTTAACTTTCCTACCTTAGGCGGCTATTACAAAAGAAAAATTGTTTTTTTCTTTATTTGAGTCATTCAAAGTAATTTGGTTACTTCTGACTCTCTAGAGTCAAAATGGATCAAAGATTTAAATATTAAAACAGAAAAATACTAAATCTACTGGAAGAGAAAGTAGGTAAAAATCTTCAAGACACAGGGGTAGGCAAAGAGTTCATGAACAAAAACCAAACTGCATGGGAAATACTTCAAAGAATCAACAACTGGGATCTCATCTTATTGAAAAGTTCTTGCACATCTAGAGAAATCACCAACAGAGTAAAAAGAAAACCCACAAATTGGGAAAAAATCTTAGCCAATTGTTCCTCAGACAAAGGACTTCTATCTAGAACATATAAAGAACTCAAAAAAAAAAAAAAAACAAAAAAAAAACAGCCCCCCGCAAATTTAAAGACCCAGTCTAAAAATGGGCATCTGAGATAAATACACACTTCTCACATGAAAAAATACAAATGGCAAATAAATACATGAAAAAATGTTCAATATCATTAGTCACTCAAGAAATGCAAATTAAAACTACACTGAGATTTCATCTCACCCCAGAGAGAATGGCTATCATCAAGAAATCAGTAACAAATGCTGGCGAGGCTGTGGGGAAAAAGGAACTCTTTCCCCATTGATGAGAGTGTAGACTGGTGCAACCCCTGTGGAAATCAGTCTGGAGATTCCTCAGTAAACTAGGACTAGAGCTCCCATTCAAACCAGCTATTTCCGTTTTGGGTATTTTTCCAGAACTACAAACATATACCAAGAAATATATGTGCACCCATGTTTACAGCTGCTCAATTTGTAACAGCTAAATTGTGGAAGCAACCCAAATGCCCATCAACTGAGGAATGGATAAAAAAGATGTGGTATTTTTACATAATGGAGTATTATTCAGCTATAAAGAAAGATAAACTTGAGGCTCTCACAGATAAATGGATGCAATTAGAGTCCATACTCATCAGTGAAATAAATCAGACACGCATGTGTAAATACCGTATTGTCTGACTACTGTAGGAACCTGAAAGAGTAAATAAAATCTGAGAGGTATAATAGATATTGTGAAAGGGAAAAAAACTGCTCAAAGGGAGGGAACAATTAGGATGAAGGAAAAAGAGAAAAACAAGGAGGAAAAACACACACACACACACACACACACACACACACAGGATAATTGAGAGACTCATACTACTGACTTTTATTGCTTTACTGAAAGGAAGAGTTAATGTTTAATTGTTTGATTAATCTTACATGCTTATATTTGTTTAACTGAGTAACCAATTTGAAGATAACAATATGTAATACAATAACTATTGTTAATTTCCTACCACCTTGTCTGAAACTCTGTATTGCTTCTATTGTTTGGGTGTTGTTTTGTTTATGTCTATTTTTTAATGTGTTTTCCATCTTTACCTTTAAAAATAAATTATTAAAGATATGGCTTGAAAATACTTTCTGCATAAATTGTCACTTCATTCTGTTGCTTCCTTTGCTCTGCAGAAGCTTTCTGGACTAATGTAGTTCTATCTATCAATTTTGGGGTTTTGTTTTTTTTTTTTTTTTTTTTT